CCCAAAGCGGAGCCGATCCCGGGATGTGACATGTGGCACTTACATAGCATATATTTCATCAAAAGGGTGGGTTTAACAGAGTTAACGGTGGGAGGCAAAGTGAACCACCAAACTTTGGTCAAGGAGGCACTTTGGGTCATTTTAACTTTCAGAAGATAAAGTGAGAATTGACCATAGTTTCAGGGGGCACTACATATGTGGTATCATAAGTTGAAAAATGTTTCGTGGTACATTTTTTTGTTTGGAGGTGGATTTGTTAAATTAAAATGAATATATAATATATAATAAAATAAGAATTTGGTGGAACTCTTAAAATTGGGGACCTATGTGCACCCCTAGCGCCGCCCTAGCCGTATGCTTATATCAATAGCTCACAATTTGGTTGACGGCAGCCTTGTAAGGACAAATACTAATGAAAAGAAAAGGAGAGTAGGGTCTCGAAGCTTGTTAGAGCACTTCCATTTATTTGTCATGGTAAAATGTAAAGAGAGACAACGGTAGTTACTTTTTATGTGAATAATGACTGTCTTAACAATTTTTTTGATGCATTCCCACCCATTACCATGGCAACCCAAAGTCAACCACAATTTACATTAGATATGAGGAGAGGATTTTGTATGGAGTTTTGGTATGGGAATTGAAGAATATGGCTAGGTATTTATAGAAAAAAATTTCTGAAATTTTTGTTTTTTATTTATATTTAAATTGACTGCTGATATTACAATGACGTCAGCGTTAGATCAGCTTGCTTAGGCAGCAACCCAGGCAAGTCTTGCCTTTGAGCTTGCCTACGCTTGGTTATGACCCACATTTTCCCAGGCAGTTTTGCAACGGTTGCAACGCTAGGATGGGTTTTAAAAGCCAAGGGCCTTTTGCCTTGGCAACTCTTAGTGCTGGAATTGCTCTTAGTGAGGTTGTAAGCTTTACCATTGTGGTGTGATCCTAATAAGCTAGTAAGCATATTTTTATTTAGTTATAAATTACAATCGGCTTGTGTGTAGATATGCAAGTGCAAATAGGTGTGTAAGTTTATATTGGCTATGGGATCTACGATTTGAGGTTGGTGTCGTTAATTACAAACAATATTGTACAATGAATTGTTGGGCTGTTAAAACTAGGTTACCCCAATGAAAATAATAAATCATATCCATATTTATGGTATGTTTACTTATCAGAAATAGGGAACTAAGGAATTGGGGAATTTTAGGGATGGAGCAACTAAGGAATTGGTATGGGAAGAATCATTTCCATTAAAATATTTACTAACCATATGCAATCAGTAGATGACTGGAGATGAATCAGAATCTAAACTAATTTGATTACTGAATGCCTTGCACATATAAATTATATATTTTCTTCACCAACTTAGCTACTGAAAAAATTAATTGACAATACCTTATTTTACAACTAGTCGCTACACTAGAACACATCTATTACAGTGCACACGTTTCCTATGAGACGTTGAAGCAATTACAACACGCTTTGCGTGCCTTAAAAGAACAATTATGGCGTGTTCCGCGCGCTTCTTAAAAGACTAATTATGGCATAGAATGCACGCCATAAAAGAGTAATTAATTCTCATTTAAGACGTTCAATGCACGCCATGTTTAACTTTAAATTAAAAACAAATTATTAATTCATTGCCTACTCTTGTTTCATATTTACAATATACTTATATCATCTATTACTACCCTGGATACAAAATTTCACAAAACGAAAAGTAGTATTGCAACCAAACTTAAAATAAAGAACCATTTCATTGAAAACTATACCAATCATAATCAACTCCAAATACAAACTCTATAAAGTATTAAAGAAACACATAATAGTGCTGCCAAATTTACAACACAACCTCCAACTCATTCACTCATAATAGTGCTGCCAAACCTACAACATAACCTATGCAAAAACCTCATGATAGCACTGGCAATAGACATCATCTAACAAAAATCAAACTCACACTTGCTCTGCCACCTGCATTTTGTTAGAAAACTCATTTTAGCAATTGAATTGTTGTAATTTGCCAAAGGAAAAACTTGATAATATAAGGGCAAAACTAAGCATGAATGTTATGATTGAACTATGCATCATTAAGGAAAGAATTTGACAAAGGAAAAAATAAAAACAAAACAAAACAAGTAAGGCGCCAGGTCCCGATGGCTTTTCTGGAATTTTTTACCATCATTATTGGGAAATAATCGGTGAGGATTTATGCATGATGATTAAAGATTTTTTTCAGGGAGACTCTACTGTGCATTGCTTAAACATGACTGAGATTGCTCTAATTCCAAAGGTACCAAACCCTGAAACTGTCACTCAATTCCGGCCTATAGCTCTATGTAATTTCACTTACAAGATCATCTCTAAGATTCTTGCTAATCGCTTGAAGCCAATTCTATTGAATTCATATTGCAATGCTGTTGCAAATATTTTGAATTCATATTGCAATGCATCGGGGCAAGTGGTCAACTTCGAAAAATCAAGTGTTTATTTTAGTCCCAATTCTTCTTAGCATCTCAGAGATAGTGTTGGGCACATTCTACATGTTTCTCCAACGGATAACCCGGGGAAGTATTTAGGGCTTCCAACCATGTGGGGCAGATCAAAGCATGAGGCGATGAATTTTGTCAAAGAAAGAGTGATGAGGAAAGTGGAGGGATGGAAGCAAAAGCTGCTCACTCAGGCTGGCCGTGAAATCCTTATAAAAGCTGTGGCACAAGCTATCCCCACCTATCCCATGTCTGTGTTCCTCTTTCCAGGGGGTCTTTGTAGAGAGCTGGATGGGATGCTGGCAAAATTCTGGTGGGGGGCGAATGAAGAAAAAGATAAAATCCATTGGATTAGTTGGGCGGAGCTGGGCATGCCTAAACTGGAGGGAGGTACAGGATTCAGGAATATTCATGATTTCAACCGGGCTTTACTTGCTAAACAAGGTTGGAGACTGCTGACAGATCAAAATTCTTTTTGGGCTTTGATGATGAAAAGCAGATACTTTCCTTCTTGTAACTTTCTTCAAGCTAGCAAAGGTGCTCATGCATCGTGGGTGTGGGCTAGCTTGCTGGAGGGCAGGAAAGTGATCATAAGGGGGTCTCAATGGCAGATCTTAAATGGAACCAGGGTAAGGCTGTGGGTTGATAAATTGATTCCTGTGTCGCCAAATGGCTTGTTACATCCTATAAATGATGAGATAGTGGACGAATATGCCTTAGTGTCTGAAATTATTAACCTCGTCACAAAAATTTGGGATTTAACAACTCTCAATAGGAGAATCTCGGTTCAGGATGCTCGAAGGATAAATGCCATGCCTGTTGGAGGAGGTAGTGAATCTAATCGTTTGATTTGGCCTTTTAGTGTGTCTGGCTGCTACTCTGTTAAATCTGGATATAACTTGATTCATCCTTGCCACAATCCTTCTCAAAAGCATTTGAAAGCCTCGAGGTCTCACTTTGTTTCTAAGAAGGTGTGGAAGCTAATTTGGTGTTCCCCTTTAACCCCAAAAATCAAAAACTTTTTGTGGCGTGCAGTCAAAGGGTGTCTTCCTACAAGGGCTCTCCTTTTTCGTAGGCATTTGGGCTTATCCCCATTGTGCCCGGTCTGTGAAACTGAGCTGGAAACAATTGAGCATTTACTGCTTTTCTGTAATTGGACCGCAAGTGTCTGGTTTGGAAGTGTGCTATGCTACCGGGTTGATAGGCAAAGTATCACCACTATTGATGAGTGGCTGCTTGGAGTGACTAGTAAGTTGGACAAGGAAAATTTTAATTGGGTGTGGTTTCACATCAGCTTTTTATGCTGGAGTCTATGGAGAAGCAGGTGTGCTTTTGTTTTTGAAGGAAAAAATGTGTGCCCAAAACAAACAATTGCTTGGGGCAGAACTCTAGCGGTAGAACTACTGGAGGTTGTCAAGCTAAATAGGCATGGTGCGGAGAAGCCTAGCTCGCGGGGGTCAGAAACAATTCAGAGGTGGCTCCCTTCCCCCCAAGCTACTCTTAAGTTAAATGTGGATGCGTCCTGGGACAAGAAGACTTTATTCACAGGTCTTGGAGCGGTCATTCGTGATGAGCATGGTGCTTTTATTAGGGAGCGGGAAAGTTTAGACTAGCCCCTTCTCCTATTGAAGCTGAAGCTTTTGTAGCTTTACATGGTCTTGAGGTTGCCTCAGATTTGGGTTGTATCCACCTTGAGTGTGAGTCTGATTCAAAGGAGCTGGTTCAAAGTGTTAGAGGACATTTTCTAAAAGGCAAATGGACAATCTACCCAATCCTTGCTGCTTTAAAGGAGAAGAGCAAACTCTTTGGCTCTTGCAACTGGAAGTGGATTCCAAGGAAAGCAAACAGAGCAGCGGATGCTGCAGCTTTAGAAGCGAATAGGAAGATGTGCGATGAGGTCTGGATCAGTCAACCCCCATCCTCCCTGGTTTTTGTGCTCCATAACGATGGTCTTCCTTGTCCTCCACAAGTTTAATGTTTTTTTGTCTAGTTAGGATCTGACGCTTGCCTTCTGGGGTGGCGTCCTAGTGTGCTTTGTCCTGGCTGGAACTTAGTGTTTTTTTCTTTGGGTTGGCTCGTTTGGCCTGGTACTGCTTTGTTTAGTAGTTTTTCGGGAGTTAGTAGCTTCTGCTCCTGTTGTGGTTTAGCTTTGCTGTGGTTTCCTTGGGTCGTTTGTTTGGCTGTTGTGTTTGGTTTGTCCTTTCCCTTTCATTGAAAGTGTGTTTCGACCAAAAAAAAAACAAAACAAGAATATTAGAAGACAGGATGTTATGATTGAAGTGTGCATTATTAAGGAAAATGGTGGAAAAAAATGTGCCTCCTGTATATCCAGAAAATCGTTTGTATACCTTTTCATCAACACAACAAAAATGGACAGAGGCATAACTTGTCGTTCTTCACTTTATTCTTTACACAAAAACAATCACTTTTGGCTGCAACAATTTATATCATGAAAAGACAGATAAAGCATCAAACGTACAAGAACCAGATGACTGATAGATTTAACCTCTAATGTTTCCTCTACTGCCATATCATCCAAAAGAAGTATGAAAGAAAAACGTGCCACATGAAAGTTACCTGATCTATACTAAATTTTGCAGATTGAAATTGTTTCATTTGATGGGTATTTTGGAACCTGTCAGCGCCATCTAGAGCCTAATAAACAAAAAATTTGCTGAAGTTATACAGGAAACTGCAAGTTTCTAATATAAAGTACATAACTTTTTGATTCTCATATGAATTGGAACATTTGAGCAAGATTTTACCTCTCTCAACCTATGAATAACAAGTTGAATTTGTCTCCGAAGTATTTCCTCTGCCATTAGATGAACATTTCAGCAACACGTTGAATATGTATCAAACTATGAATAACAAGTTGAATTTGTCTCTGAAGTATTTCTCTCTGAACATTTCAGCAACATAAATGCTTACAACCAAAGAACACAGATGAGATATAATATCTTTGAGCTGAAATGGTTTCCAGCAGCTTCGCATATCTCATCAACTTTAGCCTCCTAAACCTTTGATTCCAGTCAAGTTCTGCCAAACAGAAATCAGAGTAAGGAATCAGACCTTAACATGCTCAGTGTAAGAAATTGGAGTTTAAATTCGTTTTACCTTCTTCGTATGCATCATCAAGCCATTGCAGGTGTAGATCCCAGCGTATTCAAGCTTCTTATTATATCCGGCACCTAAGCAATCACTACACAAAACCCAAGCGTTACTATTAGAATTACTTAAACGAAGAGGTACTCATATATTTCTGGAGTTTTTTTTTTAAAGAAATATAGAGCAAATCAAACAGAATTTTAAAAATACGAAAAGAAAATCAAAATCTGAACAGGAAATCGAAGACGTACAGAGATCGAGTTTGAAACAATGAATATTTAAATAAATCGAGAAAAATAGTAAATGATATCGATTTTTCTGAATTGAAACGAAAATAATGTGCGAAGTGGTATAAATCAAGAATTAAAGACAATGAGGCCTCCTAACCACATGAATGCAGTAAGGAACATGATTCTAAACTATAAGAAAATTCAAAATCAAGCATTAGGGGTTAGGGCTTTGGAGAATCGCACCTTTGGAATGTCACTGAGAATTCAACTTCGAAGCAATACGGCTCAAGTAATAGTCTTCTCGCGAACGAGAAACTGGAGCTCTTGATTAACTGTGAGAGAGAATTTAGAAATTGTAAGAGAAAGAGATGGAGAGAGAGTGTATAATATAGAGTAAATCTCATAAACAACTAGTACATACTAACAATATGGAGCCTGGCAGTGGATTGTTGTTCTTGGAGCAATTTGGCATTAATTTGTATTTTTCTAGGGTTTAGGGTATTTTGGGGTTACAATAAAGTTGTAAGGTCCCGTTTGGTTTACGGAATGGATTTAAAGGAAAATCACTTCTCATGTTATTTCCTAAGAAATGGAAAATGAAAGATTCTTTTCCCACGTTTGGTAATGTCGGGAAAGTAACTGGGAGATTTCACTTTGTTTCCTTTCTCATGTTTGTTTTGAGTAGGAATGGAAAATAAAATTTGTATAATTTTTCAATTATACCCATATTAAATCAAATAAAAAAAGAGTGCATTTAGTGATACATTGTAATTCTAAATTGTTCATGGGGATAAAATACTCATGAAAATTGTGCATTGAACGAGCACAAAGGAGAAAAAGTCCATTACCTCAACCAATTATAAATGCTAAAACCCAAAAGTAATTCAATTAGGCATATTGACAATATAAATGAAACAATCCTTAAGAAATTGGCCATTAGTTTTGTGGATATTAGAGGAGAATTTAAAGCTTTTCTTGGCAGTATTCCATGAGACCTCTTGTTTCCTTTGAAACTCTGCATATTTTATGGATGTGGAGTCAATCATAGAGGAAGGTTGCACAAAAATTAGAGTTGACCTTGTTTACTTAGATTTCTCAATCTGATGATGGTCCGGCCAGAGTGACTGTAAGTGGCTGCAACAGCTGTCCCAAAGTTGAAGGTTGGGTGGGACGGTGGCAATTTCCTACACGCCCTGTTACACGACTCGAAACTCGCATGGAAAAAACACGATTCGAACCCTCACGATTAATAATTGGGTAATTTTCGAGTCAACCCATTTTGACCCGTTTATTAAACGGGTGGGTTTCGAGTTAACCCGCTAACCCGTTAAAACACATGTGTAACCCGTTTATTAAACAGGTCGTGTCAACCCGTGTAAGACACGCCAACCCGCGAAAAAATATAAAGAAATAAAGACTTCAAAACACACATATGGGGTTTATAACCCCCACCATCCTCATTACTCTCCAACATCTCATCCACCATGCTAGATACAACTTTGTGATTATATACTATGCCTTTTGATATTTATAATGTTTCTTTTTCTTCTTTTGTTTTTCTTTCTTTTTTGTCTATCTTCTCCTCTCTCTTTTTTAATTTCTTTTCCTTCT